GATATCCATCCAGGATACCTGGGCCAGGTCAATTAGGAAGGCCTGCTCGCTAAAGTGTTTTAGGGAGCGTTTGACAGTGATGAGGGGTGGTCATTTGACCGCAGACCCGTTACGGACGCAGGCAATAAGGCAGTGATCGCTGAGATCCTGGTTGAAGACAGCGGAGGTATATTTAGAGGGTAAGTTAGTCAGGATGATATCTATGAGGGTGCCCATGTTTACGGATTTAGGGTTGTACCTGGTAGGTTCCTTGATAATTTGTGTGAGATTGAGGGCATCTAGTTTGGATTGTAGGATGGTCGGGGTGTTAAGCACATCCCAGTTTATGCCAGCAAGCAGTACAAACTCTGAGGATAGATGGGGGGCAATCAATTCACATATGGTGTCCAGGGCACAGCTGGGGGCTGAGGGGGGTCTGTAGCAAGCGGCAACAGTGAGAGACTTATTTCTGGAAAGGTGGATTTTTAGAAGTAGGAGCTCAAACTGTTTGGGAACAGACCTGGATAGTATGATAGAGCTCTGCAGGCTATCTCTACAGTAGATTGCAACTCCACCCCCTTTGGCAGTTCTATCTAGATGGAAAATGTTGTAGTTGGGGATGGACATTTCTGAATTTTTGATGGCCTTCCTAAGCCAGGATTCAGACACTGCTAGAACATCAGGGTTGGCGGAGTGTGCTAACGCAGTGAATAACTCAAACTTAGGAAGGAGGCTTCTGATGTTAACGTGCAGAAAACCAAGGCTTTTACAGTTACAGAAGTCAACAAATGATAACTCCTGGGGAGTAGGAGTGATACTGGGGGCTGCAGAGCCTGGGTTAGCCTCTACATCACCAGAGGAACAGAGGAGGACTAGAATAAGGATACAGCTAAAGGCTTTAAGAACTGGTCTTCTAGTGCGTTGGGTACAGAGAATAAAGGGGGCAGATTTCCGGGCGTTGTAGAATAGATTCAGGGCATTATGTACAGACAAGGATATGGAAGGATATGAGTACAGTGGAGGTAAACCTAAGCGTTGGGTAACAATGAAAGAGAGAGCATCACTGGAGGCACCGATTTGAGCCGGTCTCGGCGTGTATGGTGGGTGGAACAAAGGAGCTATTTGAGGCAGTTTGAGAATGCCTTGGGGTTCTATATTGAAATTGTATAATAAGAACTAACTGGAACAGCAATAGGCAAGGCATATTGACATGGGAGAGAGGCATAAAGCAATCACAGGTGTTATTAGAGAGAGCTAAGACAACAACTGGTAATGGCGATGAAAGTTTGGGCTGAGGCTAAACAGATAAACAGGACAGGGTACCGTGTAAAGGAACAGTCCAGCAGGCATCAGCTGTGCAGCTGAGTGATCAAAAGGTCCAGTGAACAGCAATATGTGAGTCCGAGAGCAGTTCGAATTGTTGCTAAAGCACAGCGAGCAGGAAGCACGGCTGTTGTTTGCGTGTGCTAGCGGGCCGGGGCTAGCAGATGGATCTTCGTGGTCGTCGCAACGGGAAGCCTGTTGAAACCACAAACGATTACGTCGGCAGACCAGTCGTGATGGATCGGCGGGGCTCCGTGTCGACTCTAGGAGGTCCCATCCAGTTGACAGAGAGGTAGATAGCCGGGAGATGTGCCTAACTCGAGGCTAGCTCAAGGCTGATTAGCCAACAACAACATCCATTTGGCTAGTTGCGATGATCAGGTGTTAAAGGTCCAGTGATTTAGTGATTCCGGCAGAAAATCAGAAATGTTCTGGGTCGATAATGCGCTGTGCAGACAGTGCAGACTGGCTGATAATAGTCCAGGCTAGAGCTGGCTGGTAGGTAGTGCAGACCACGGACAATGGTGAAAACCCGCTAACTGTGGCTAATAGCAAGTAGCTAGTTAGCTGGCTACTCCCGTCCGGTAGACAAAGAGGTAGATAGCCGGGATATGGGCCTGGCTTAAGGCTAACTGGTGCTTGCTTCCGGGGCAGTGGTGATTAGCCTACAGCAACATCCATTCAGTTGTGGCTAGCTAGTTGCGATACGGTGTTAGGGTCCAGTGATTCAGTTATTCCGGCAGAAAATCCGATGTTCTGGGTGAAAACCACTAATGGTGGCTAATAGCAAGTAGCTAGTTAGCTGGCTAGCTAGTTTCAACTGGAGATTCTAGATAAAGGTGAGTAAATAATAGAATCCGTTCCACATTGAGTGAGGCGGGTTGCAGGAAAGTATATTTAGTAGAAGGATGAAAAGTGTGATAGGGAAATATGTACGAAAAATACAAAAAAAATACAAAAAACAGGCTATTTACACGGACACACGACAAAGAACACAACCGCACTGCTACGCCATCTTGGATGGTTTGGGATGAGTCGGACCGCAGAGTGAATTAAAAGCAGCCAACAAGTGCTCAGCATATGTGGGAACTCCTTCAAGACTGTTGGAAAAGCATTCCAAGTGAAGCTGGTTGAGAGAATGCCAAGAGTTTGCAAAGCTGTCATCAATGCAAAGGGTGGCTATTTGAAGAATCTCAAATATAAAATATATTTTGATTTGTTTAACACTTCTTTGGTTACTACATGATTCCATATGTGTTATTTCATAGTTTTGATGTCTTCACTATTATTCTGCAATGTAAAAAATAGTGAAAATAAAGAAAAACCCCTGAATGAGTAGGTGTTCTAAAACTTTTGACCGGTAGCGTATATAGCCTTGTTGATTTGATGGTGTTTAAATGTTTTTAAGTTGAAATGGTGCTGGAATAGCAGAGGCAGTGCTCCTGTTGTCTTTGTACTGACTTGTGGTAACTCCGTGGTCTTAAAACGGTACTTGTTTAATAAACTGTCGAAAACATTAACTTGCTTGACAATGCTGCATGTGATGTATCTGTTTGTTACATGCAATATTTGCTTTGTGGACTTTACCGTACAGATGTTGCTCTCCGGTTTTGTGATGAAACAAACGTATGTGAAGTTGAATTTATTCCGCCACTGTGTGACTGTTGTCTTTTTGTTATCACAGCCTTATTGTACAGTGCCTTCGGAAAGTATTCAGACCCCTTGACTTTTTCCACATTTTGTTTTGTTACAGCCTTATTCTAATATTGATTAAATAGTTTTTTTCTTCATCAATCTACACAATAACCAAAATGACAAAACAAAAACAGGTTATTAGGAATTGTTGCTAATTTATTAAAAAGTAAATATCACATTTACATAAGTATTCAGACCCTTCACTCAGTACTTTGTTGAACCACCTTTGGCAGCGAATACAGCATCGAGTCTTCTTGGGTATGACGCTACAAGCCTCGCACATCTGTATTTAGGGAGTTTCTCCCATTCTTCTCTGCAGATCCTCTCAAGCTCTGTCAGGTTGGATGGGGAGCGTTGCTACACAGCTATTTTCAGGTCTCTCCAGAGATTTTCGATCGGGTTCAAGTCCGGGCGCAGGCTAGGCCACTCAAGGACATTCGGAGACTTGTCCCGAAGCCACTCCTGCGTTGTCTTGTCTGTGTGCTTAGGGTCGTTGTCCTGTTGGAAGGTGAACCTTCGTCCCAGTCTGAGGTCCTGAGCACTCTGGAGCAGGTTTTCATGAAGGATCTCTCTGTACTTTGCTCTGTTCATCTTTCCCTCGATCCTGTCTAGTCTCCCAGTCCCTGCCGCTGAAAAACATCCCCACAACATGATGCTGCCACCACCATGCTTCACCGTAGGGATGGTGCCAGGTTTCCTCCAGACTTGACGCTCGGCATTTAGGCCAAGGAGTTCAATCTTGGTTTCATCAGACCCAGAGAATCTTGTTTCTCATGGTCTGAGAGTCTTTAGGTGCCTTTTGGCAAACTCCAAGCGGGCTGTCATGTGCCTTTTTACTGAGGAGTGGCTTCCGTCTGGCCACTCTACCATAAAGGCCTGATTGGTGGACTGCTGCAGAGATGGTTGTCCTTCTGGAACGTTTTCCCATCTCCACAGAGGAACTGTAGAGCTCTGTCAGAGTGACCATCAGGTTCTTGGTCACCTCCCTGAACAAGGCCCTTCTCCCCCAATTGCTCAGTTTGGCCGGGCGGCCAGCTCTAGGAAGAGTCTTGGTGGTACAAACTTCTTCCATTTAAGAATGATGGAGGCCACTTTGTTCTTGGGGACATTCAATGCTGCAGAAATGTTTTGGTACCCTTCCCCAGTTCTGTGCCTCGACACAATCCTGTCTCTGAGCTCTACGGACAATTCCTTCGACCTCATGGCTTGGTTTTGGCTTTGACATGCACTGTCAACTGTGGGGTCGTTATATAGACAGGTATGTGCCTTTACAAGTCATATCCAATCAATTGAATTTACCACAGGTGGTCTTCAATCAAGTTGTAGAAACATCTCAAGGATGATCAATGGAAACAGGATGCACCTGAGCTCAATTCCGAGTCTCATAGCAAAGGGTCTGAATACTTATGTAAATAATATTTTTTATTTTATTTTATTTTATACATTTGCCCAAAATTCGACAAACCCGTTTTCTCTTTGTCATTATGGGGTATTGTGTCAAGGGGTCTGAATACTGCCACCACCATGCACCGTGGTCCTCTGTAGCTCAGCTGGTAGAGCACGGCGCTTGTAACGCCAAGGTAGTGGGTTCGATCCCCGGGACCACCCATACACAAAAATGTATGCACGCATGACTGTAAGTCGCTTTGGATAAAAGCGTCTGCTAAATGGCATATTATATTATATTATATTATATTATATATTATTATATATATTATATAATACTTTCCGAAGTCACTGTATATCATGATGGCGTATGAACGAATTGGTTTTAGAGCAAACAATGCAATTATCACAACAGGTTGTAATATGGCTGTTTTACTGGCTTGGCTTGGCTTCCTCAAGGATTTTACCCACGCACCGCTACTGATAGCACCTGACATTCAGATACCAGAATAAGTAACGCTAAGTGGCCCAAGGGGCAAAGTAGCTTTTAAAATGTAGTGACAAATCAAGTTTTTTCTCAAATCATTTTGTAGACCTTCATGGCCGGTCTAACCTACCTCACTGTCTAACCCCAGTAGGATGATCATGATGAAGAAGAAGATGGCCCAGAGTTGGGGTACTGGCATCATGGCCACAGCACGAGGGTAGGCGATGAACGCCAGGCCAGGACCTGTAAGTGGTACATAAAGCATTGTGTTCACATTATATCCCTCAGAGGGTTTGAAGGTACATGTGGAGCATTACCTACCTGATTCAGCCACCATTGAGATGTCCATGCCCTGTTCATAAGCCATGAAGCCCAGTACAGAGAAGATGGCAAAACCAGCCACAAAGCTAGTCACACTGTTTAGTAGACAAAGATACACACAGTCCCTGAAATTAAAAATACATTAGTCAGCCTTAAACTCACACAACAAAATAGGTCTTCTCAATACAATGTCATGAATCATGATCAAGATCTGTTATTTACAAGGTGTGCTGAGATTAATAGCGGGTTTAAAGTACCTGTAGCAGTTGTTGTTGTACTTGTTGTAGCTGCCTAAAGTTGTCAAAACCCCTGTACAAACTCCATAGGAGTAAAATATCTGGCTTCCAGCATCCATCCATACCTGAAACAATATGTCAAAATAACTGTTAACTGTGGTAGAAAGTGACTGTTTTAGAAAGTATATTTGCATCTGTGGGATGGATCTCAGTTTTGGACACAATGAAGTGTGTTCCTACCTGTGGGTCAGCGAGGCGGGCTGGGTCTGGGTAGAGGTAGTATTTGATACCATCTATGGCCCCCGGCAGTGTGAGTCCACGAACTAGCAACACCACCAGCATCACATAGGGGAAGGTGGCAGTGAAATAGACCACCTGAGGGGAGGGGGGACCAGTCCAGCATTACATTCACTCAGTCTATGGCTCATCCTAACAACTCTACAGTATTCATGAGGTCATCAGGCTGAATGGCAGAGATCCCACCTTACCTTTCCAGTAGACTTCACTCCTTTCCAGACACAGAAGTAACAGATAATCCAGGACAGTAGAAGACACAGAGATAGGTCCCAGCGAATATTCCCAATTTCTTCAATTCCCCCAGACAAGCCCAATATTCTTCTCCTGAGTGTAAAAGCACATTTAGTAATATTCACCCGAACTGTGTTAAAAAAAAATGCATTCATACATAATAAAAATGTTTGTTTTTTAAATACATGTACATTGTCAAGTCACTTACTCCCAAAATTCAATGACTGAGGATGTAGTGTTCCCATGAGAGTGGTCAGAGAATGTGCTGTTCTGGCCATGCTCAAAACAGTTGTCTTATAGTGAGAGAAAACAATTGATATTACAAAACAATTAAATCATATGGATGGGGTTGGGTAATGTATGGCTTATGTACATTTGAGGTGCATTAACTTCCAGCTATAAACTTTCAGCAATACATTGTCTGTGCAATGTATTTAACTTAAAAAAGCTGTCAATAATGTTATGATTAGTTAGTGGTTGACAACAACCATAAATTATTGACAAGCATAACATATAATATAAAATAAAATACCTGTGTTCCAACTATTTTTACAACTGGCCCATGGGAGTTCTGAGCTGAAGGAAGAGAAGAGGTATAGGAACGCCCAAGCCAGAATGATGATGTAATACACTCCAGTGTACAAAACTACCACTTGGCTTCCATAGCCCAGGCCTATTGAGAGAGGTCAACATCATAAAACGACAACATAGAAAACGTAAAGAATTTGGGGTCTGGTATGGGGCTTATCAATGAGGAAATACTTACTGAATTGAGGATAATTGCTTCCTGAATTGACTGAATTGAAATGGAAATGTCCTCAACCTTGACAAAAGGTTCATATTACCAGTATAGCCATATTAGCACTATCTTGTTGGCATCAATAAACAGGCTACTTCATACAAATGTTGTTAACTGACAGCTTTATATAGTCTAGAGCTATGCTGCCAATGGTAAAGAGAAAGTTTAGGTAAAATTACCCAATCCTTAAGACTTAACTTCAAAGAGTGGGCAGATTTTCCTCCAGCAAGTGATTCCACCCTGACTAGTGTACTGGCCCATCGATGTCTCCAGGAAGAAGAGGGGAACACCGCAGGTGAACAGGAACAGAATATAGGGGACAAAGAAAACCCCTTTTGGAGCAATGATTAATAAGTAATTTGCATGAAACACTGAAATTGACTATGCATTTTGAACCACTGTCAAAGTCAGGGAAATTGTAAACTTATACTTAGTCTTATATTACAAAGCACCACAAAAGTCACATGCTAGTAAAGCATCTGTGGAGAGAGTTTGTAAGTTAGGGTTGATGGGTTACAGACAGTTTTACATTTTTAGTCATTTAGCAGATGCTCGTATTCAGAGAGACTTACAGTTAGTGAGTGTATACATTTTCATACTGGCCCCCCGTGGGAAACAAACCCACAACCCTGGCGTTGCAAGCGCCATGCTCTACCAACTGAGCTACACAGGGGGCTAAGCTCATGAGCACAGTTGAACTAAGCTCATGAGCACTTAAAAGTTATATTCTTCAAGAATCAATGGCTATATATCCTTAAATTAAATATATGGAATATGGAAAAATATGGATGTACCAAACCCAGATTGCCCCTTTTAAGTAAATACAATTTTTCGAATTTACAGCAGAATAAGTTTCATTATGTAACAGCTTAGCCTTATATGAATAAATCAAAATAAAACACTTATATATGAGCAATTTCATTACTACGTGTGTTTAAATTTATATAACCACATAAAGATGTGGTGTGATGCTCACCTCCTCCATTTTTATAGCACAGGTATGGGAACCTCCATACGTTTCCCAGACCGACAATGTGTCCAGCTACTGCCAAGAAAAACTCAATTTTGCTGCCCCACTTGCCCCTGTCCTGGGGCTTGGGTTCAGGGTGTTCCACGTTCAGCTTCACCTCCGTCTCATATGTACGCTCCATTTCAGCCTTCGAAAGTCTATTACAGTGTCCTGAAATGTTACATACCATACCAAAGTTATTGTTTTGAAGCACTACTTTTGAAAATGTAAGTGATATATTATGTTGAAAATAAGGCTTTTGTTTAAATGTCTTAACATTGTGGTGAATATCTAAAGCATGATTACTACACTGTAAAAACATATATAATAATTGAACATAAAAAGTCCATGTTGCTTAAATATCCAAGTTGGCTGGACTTAAAATTGTGAAAATGTTGAGCTGGAATACATGGAATACTCCACTAACCCAATTATATTTTTCTCAATGTACTTGAATTTGAAAAGCAATATTGAGTAAACTTACGTTTGCTTTTGCAACACATAGCTGAGTTAACACAGTTTAATTAGCTTAGAGTGCAACGTAAAATACTGTGTTGGCTTTAAAAACATGTCTCATTAACATATTACCCTGTGTGCTTTTTTCAGCAGGTTGTTTTTACTTTATTTTAGTCCATTTCCTTGTCAGGGACCAGTGTACAACTAAAACATTTATTTCAGAGGCTGAAATATGATGCATTAAAACAGATCTAGCAAAACGGGAAGTGGATTTGTTCTATCCATTGGTGAGATTGTTTTACCTGTTTAATAATATGCCATTTAGCAGACGCTTTTATCCAAAGCGACTTACAGTCATGCGTGCATAAATTTTTGTGTATGGGTGGTCCCGGGGATCGAACCCACTACCCTGGCGTTACAAGCGCCGTGCTCTACCAGCTGAGCTACAGAGGACCACTACTTGTCTGTAGTTAGTCAGAGCAGATATGAAAGAACCTCCTAACGCATCCATTCATTGGATCATGACTGAAACTGGAAAGGAGTCAAGTGGGACTCTAGGTACAACATTAATATACTTGTTTCAACCAAATTAAAAATATAACAGCCATCTGTCAATAACCAAAAATTCCATAGTTGAGCAAACATCTATATTAGAGTTCATCCAACTTAAAATGCTTAGTTAATCTGATGATAGGCTTACATCTTTAAAATAAAGCCTTTAATACTGCCGAACTATTTATCTCACAAATGACAGTTTGACTGATGACAAACTGCACATTTCAAAATGTCAAAGTAAAAGCATATCCTGTACCTCATGCAGCAGATCAGTAAACAGGCAAGTGTCTGTCTGAAGATTTCTCAACTCCTTGGACCACACTGTTTGCTTCCAGTACAACGGAGTTAGTTAGTGAGAGCGAGCAGGATATCAAGTGAGCTGGATGGACGTGTAGAGGAAGGTGGAGGTGCTTTTATTGAGGTCATGAAATAAGATAGCAGACCCCCCCACAACCCACACACACACTTGTATATTGTACATCGGTAACATTGTTGTGTAGCATGTTGTGGGCCTAAGGAGATTACTGCTATCACAGGGTTACTGACCCACCACACCAGCTCTGCATGTTCAGGCGACAAGTTTCTGAAGAAATGTACTCTCATGTACTTTCATTTTGTGAAGAATGGATTTAAAACGATCACCCAGCAAACCAAAGCTGGTTCTGTGAATGTTCCAAAAACATTTCCTTAAGTTGTGGGAAAGGTGTAAAAACATTCCCCCCAAAGGTTCTAATAACACAAAATGTGTCCAGTTGTGCTGATGATTATACAATTTTTGTATTAGGGTGCACAAAACATTCCTCTAATGTTACAAGAATGTTAACAGAAAAGAACATATGTGTTCTTAAAAGTTCCCAAAACATTTAATTAGGTTGTGAGAACCGTGTGTGGACATTACAAGAGATAGGTTCCCAAAACACAATCTGTCCTGTTGTGCTGACATTCATACAATGTTTCTATCAGGGTGCACAAAACATTCCCCTACTGTTGCAAGAATGTTCACATACATTTTATGTATTCTTTAAAGCATAGGTGTCAAACTCATTCCACGGAGGGTCGAGGGTCTGCGGGTTTTCACTCCTCCCTTGTTCTTACATATTTTTTTACCTTTAATTTATCAGGGAGTCATACTGAGACCAAGGTCTTTTTTTACAGATGATCCCAGAATTACATAAATTACAGAAAATACACACAAAATATAAATACAAAATGCAAGCAGAAAGAAAGAAAAACACTGTCATAAAAAAAATAAACAGATTCAACAGTAATAAGGTCCTCAATCAGCTTTCTGAATTGCCCTACAGGCACCAGAACATCAAATTTAAGAACATTTTGAAGATTGTTCCACAAATAAGGTGCAATAAAACTAAAAGCTGATTTACCTGACTCAGTAGAGACGAAAGGAATTTACAGAGTTAACCATCCCTGAGACTGGGTGCGGTAACTCGTATGTCTAAAGTTTAGTAATGATGTTAGGTACAGTGGGACTCTAAAAGGGCTTTATAAATGAAAACATAGCAATCGAAGAGGGCCAACCAACTTTCTGGTAGAGAATGCAGTGATGAATACTAAAATTGTCGCCCGTAATAAAGCACAGTGCACTATGATAAACTGCATCTAATGGCTTTAATGAAGTGGCAGCTGCCACTTAAATAATGAATTAAGGTCACTAATTAGTACGGAATTCCCCACACCTGGTTGTCTATGGCTTAACTGAAAGGAAAAACCAAAACCCTGCAAACACTAGGCCCTCCATGGAATGACTTTGACACCTCTGCTTTAAAGGTTCCCGACATATTATATTATATTTAGGTTTTACCAAGCATTCCCTCAATGTTGTTAGAACGTTAGTCCTATGTTCATAGAATTATAAAAATAAATTGATCTGTCCATTGAGGTTTCTTTGATGTATTAGTGCCATCTTACTGTTGAGGAATTTTGGTTCTACAACAGTTAATGTAATCACATGACATTTTATTAGATTAACATTCTGCAAACAGTTTTACCATTTTGTTGATAGCCGCAAGCAGGAATCGAAACTGGGACCTTTTGGAGTTTTATCCCTGGAATTATTCCATAGCACCACAGGGATGAGACTACGTTGTTTATGCATTTAGGGCTCTATTTTTAACTGATGTCAAACGCACGTTAGTTTGCAATTTCGTCATGTAAAAACTGGCACGGTGGTATTTTCCAGCCCTAACGCCAGGTTCGGCAATTTACCTGTCTAACATCAACATGCTTATGGTCAGATGAGAGGGGTGGAAATATTTTAGGTGTGTGCTTAAAAACATGATCCAAAGTGCTAATTTCACGTAGCGCTGGTAGGGATATTTAAGACCAACCATAAGCTGGTTTTAGCGGTAACGCAGTTAGTTATTGCAGGGTTTCCCAAACTCGGTCATGGGGCCCCCCCTGGGTGTACGTTTTGTTTTTTGCCATAGCACTACACAGCTGATTCAAATAATCAACTAATCATCGATCTTTGATTATATGAATGAGCTGTATAGTGCTAGGGCAAAAAACAAAACCTGCACCCAGGGGGGGCCCAAGACTGAGCTTGGGAAACCCTGGCATGAATTTTGACAGCAGAAACGCAGCCTACCCAGCCGCGATGCACACTGCCCATATGCGCATGGAACAAGATGTGCTTTTGGTGCCTGTAAACTTCCCATTTAGAAACATAAAACACTCATGTTTTATCCCAATGTCATTAAAAACCAAGCATAGCCTCCAGTGGCGACCCGTCTTTCAGCTGAGCCCAACCTGTTTAGCCCCCCCCCCAAAAAAAAAAAATATATATATATATACACACACACTACCAGTCAAAAGTTTGGACAAACCTACTCATTCAAGGGTTTTCTTTATTTTTACAATGTTTACATTGTAGAATAATAGTGAAGACATCAAAACTATGAAATAACACATATTGAATCATGTAGTAACCAAAAAAGTGTTAAACAAATCAAAATATATTTTATATTTGAGATTCTTAGAATAGCCACACTTTGCCTTGATGACAGCTTTGCACACTCTTGACAGCTTTGCACACTCATCTGAGTGTCAACTACTCTCTTACATCCTGAACTTCTTCATACCAGAAACTCATCATAACAGACTATCATTTGTTTTTCAACAGGACAATGACCCAACACACCTCCAGTCTGTGTAAGGGCTATTTTACCAAGAAGGAGAGTGATGGAGTGCTGCATCAGATTACCTGGCCTCAACAATCCCCCGACCTCAACCCAATTGAGATGGTTTGGGATGAGTCGGACGGCAGAGTGAAGGAAAAGCAGCCAACAAGAGCTCAGCATATGTGGGAACTCCTTCAAGACTGTTGGAAAAGCATTGCAGGTGAAGCTGGTTCAGAGAATGCCAAGAGTGTGCAAAACAATCATCAGGGCAACGGGTGGCTATTTGAAGAATCTCAAATATAAAATATGTTTTGATTTGTTTAACACTTTTTAGGTACTACATGATTCCATATGTGTTATTTCATAGTTTTGATGTCTTCGCTATTATTATACAATGTAAAAATAAAGAAAAACCCTTGAATGAGTAGGTGTGTCCACATTTTTGAAAATATTCAGACCGCTTGACTTTTTCCACATTTTGTTAAGTTACAGCCTTATTCTAAAATTGATTAAATTGTTTGTTTTTTTTCCCATCAATCTACACACAATGCCCCATAATGATAAAAGCAAAAACAGGTTTTTAGAAATGTTTGCAAATGTATAATTTTTTAAAAACTGAAATGTACATTTACATTTACATTTACGTCATTTAGCAGACGCTCTTATCCAGAGCGACTTACAAATTGGTGCATTCACCTTATAGCCAGTGGGATAACCACTTTACAATATGTTTTTTATTTATTTAATTTTTGGGGGTGGGGTAAGGGGGGGGTAGAAGGATTACTTTATCCTATCCCAGGTATTCCTTAAAGAGGTGGGGTTTCAAGTGTCTCCGGAAGGTGGTGAGTGACTTGTTCCACCATTGGGGTGCCAGAGCATAAGTATTCAAACCCTGTATTTTGGGAGTTTCTCCCATTCTTCTCTGCAGATCCTCTCAAGCTCTGTCAGGTTGGAGGGGGAGCGTTGATGCACAGCTATTTTCAGGTCTCTCCAG